TCTCTGAACCGCTACAGAGGCCTTAAGCCTTTTGTGGGGAAAACCTTTGGCCTCTGAAATAGGAAATCAATGGCAGAATTTGTGTTACTTAGGCCCTTCATAAACTTTATGGATCCCTGCGTGGAGGCGGTGGAGAAGATGATGGAGGTGATGGCGGAGGTAGGAAAGGTCGTGTTGGAGGCGAAGGATGAGGGCGAGGGCGAGGTGGTGACAGGATAGAAGTAGGTGTGAACATCACGGTTAAGGTGGAAAGCGTGATGTAGTCGGAGGTGGTGGAGGACGAGGTGGATGGAGGTTATGGATTTGATGGATGTGGTGGAGATGGTGGCCTTGGAGGAGGTGACGGAGGTGGAGGTACAGAGGGTGGGAGGTGTCCGTTTGACAATGGGTACAAATGAGTGAGTGGATCAATCACTTCAATATTTGATGCAAGAAGAAAATATGTTTTATGAGTTGAGATCATTTCTGGGAATTAGCAATAAAACCCAAAGAACCTAGGACCCCCAAGGCAGGAGCAGGAGAGGGAGGCTCAGATAATTCAGTCAACGGCCGGCTTACCCTTTGCTGTAGGGCCTGTGGAAAGAAGAAGGGAGGGCAGGAAGAGACCTCAGTGCTTGGCTAAGACCTTGCCACGACTGTTGAATTTGGGATTTGAGGCTAAGCAAAGTCTACTTTAAAAGATCATAGCACCAAGGGCAGTTGGGAAAAAAAAACCCAGGTCTGAACTTGTTCAGCTGAAACCACACGGTGGTGTGGAGCGATGGGCCGTGAAGCTGAAACGCTTATTCCTTTGTTTGCTTTTCCTAATACGAGAAAATGGATGGGAAAGACCAGAGGGCTTTCCAAACATCCGGAGCTGATACTGGTGGTTGGACTTGCTTAGTCCTTATGGAACTGAGCTATAACCACTCACTGAGCTCAGGGATGTGGTCAATAACCACGTGGGGGGTGATGACCCATCATCTCTCTGGGTTTGAGCCCTTCACACACATACTCTTCCCAAGAACCCTATAAAGTGTTGCTTATCTCCCCATTTCACACTTGGGAAAACTGAGGCCCAGACTGGGGAAGTGACTTGCCCTTCCAGCCCAGCCAGGACTCACCCCCCCTTCACTCTGAGAACATGTTCTTAACTACCAGGCTACACTGCTTTCTCTGTGATGGGCACAAAGTCTGCCTCAATTTCATGCTTTCCAAATCACTCACCATCTTACTTGCTCCTCTCAGCAGACGTGAGCCACCCAGGGTAGGTGTTATGCCCACTTGACAGACACGGAAACTGAGGTCCAGAGAGAAAAATAACTGGCCTGGGATCCTACGGTAAGTCAGGGGATTCCAGTGCTGGGATCCACACCCCCTGACATCCAGGCCCAAGTCGGAATGATGTGGAGCTCCGCATACAACTTAAGTCACCTCAGATCAAAACCACTGAAATTCAGCTCCCTGTTCCCGCCTGCCTGAAGCCTCGGCAAAGTGCAGAGCCAGCACCGAAGCTGGATGTGATCTCCAGAAACAGAGAGCGCCCAGGCTCTATGAGCTCCGCGGCCAAGCCTCCCAGACAGGCGGTAGAGCGCAGTGGTCAGGAGCCACACTGACCTGGGTGCGACCTGGGCCGGAGGGCAGGTCCCAGCCTCAGCTTCCCCATTGGTAGCTAGTATTTGCTGAGCGCTTATTTGGTGCATTCAGTAAGTCTTTTGCATATATTAGCTCATTTACTCCTCCCAACAAACAAACTCCTCCTGCCCCTGAAGTAGGCAATGTTATTACCCCTGTGTTACAGACAAGGCTACCAAGGCACAGAGAGGCTGAGGCATTCGCCCAGGGATACATAGCTAGTGAATAGTGGGGATTCCACCCTAGCTCTGGGGCTGGCTTTCTTACCCACTTCAACACACTGCTGCCCTGTCAAGGATATGATAATAGTGTCTGTTCATTAAATGAGATGAATTATCTAAAGCATTCAGGAGGGGAGAGAGGAATACAGAAGGTGCTCAAGAAATGATCATTATCATTTAAACATCTAGTACAGAGTTGGTGTTCAATAAATGCTTACAAACAAAGTACACCGGGTACTGGGGCACACACACCCCACGATCAGAGCAGGAGAGGCATGGGAGAGAGCATTTACTGAGCAGCCTCTGTATACTGCGATGGGTGAGAGGGGGGCAACAGGGGAGCCCCTGGGGAGCACGGGGAGGCAGCCTGGACCCTGCTTCCTGGCCCGGGGTGGGGGAACGATCAGGGTTTTGTTTCCCGCTGAGATGGGGGCGCTTCCATAAAGCTGGGGCCCAAGGCCGGCTACCTTCGCATCCCTCTCTGTAGCAGAGTCCCCCTGGTTTCCCGGTTTCCACGAGGAGCAGCTCTATGCCTTTTGTCTCCGGGGATAAAATGCATGTTATGAAAACGGAAATGACCCCGGCCCTGCAGCCTCTTTGTGCTTTTGGACCGCTCACCCCACAACGCCATGGCTGCGACATCATCAGCTTCAGGGCTTATCTCCCCCTGGAAAGTAATTGAGTTGCCTTCCTGGCTCCAGGGGTGGGCAGATCTGAGCCAGACACCTGCCGGGGTGGACTCGGCTTAGCAAGGCCGCCCCTCCCTTCCTGTGCCCCAAAGACCGGGCCCTCACCCCCACCCCACTGCACACACCGGGCCAGCCACGAGCAGAGGGAGAAGCGGGGGTCCTGAAGGCCCCTGGTTTCACCAGTCACTGGCTCTGTGGCCTTGGGGCCGGGGACACTTTGCTACTGTGCACCTCAATTTTGTCCTCTGTAAAATGGGAACAATGAGACCTTTCTCTCGGGGTCATGGTGAGGATGAAAGGATGTTATTTCCCCTCTCTCTTCCCTTTCCTGTCCTTGAAGAGCTCGTGGCTTGGTCTGAGAAACGGGCCTGGGTCAGCTAACAGTGACACAGTAGAGCTAGGGGTGAAGGCAGAAGATTGAATGGGCTCATTGGGCTGGGCTTTAAAGTGGCATTTACAGGTGGAGGGGTAGGGTTGCCGTTCCAGGTGAGGGTACAGCCCGTGGGGATGGAAGAGGAGGGCAGGACTGCGGCAAGGTGAGAAGTGTGCTCTGGACAAGCTCTCCAATGGCCGGCCAAAGAGTTTGGACTTTACCCTGCTGGTGATGGGGAGCCTTAGAGTGTTTCTGGGGGGAGGGAGTGACATGGCCAGACCTGTGTTGTAGCCGGAGTGGGAGGGGAGCCAGAGGGACAACTCCGGAGGTAGGATGGCCCAAGGAGGCCGGGGCAGGGACCCCAAGAGAGATTAGGCCTAAATTTATGAATGTTCCTGACCCACGATCGCAGGGCTCAAACGCATGCTAGGAAGGCTTCCAGGAGGAGGCAAGCTTTGCTCTGCACCCTGGAAAAGAATCACACAAGCAGAGGGGAGCAGGAAAGGGTCTGCCACACAGCTGGTGGGAGTGGGAACTGGGGGTCAGTAGCCCAGTTAGGCTGATGTGTTCAGTGTGCAGGGAGGGGTGAGAGGGACAGGCAGGGGCCTCAAAAGCCTTTGTGCATCAGGCCTTTGACTCCCCAAAGAAGGGCTGAGCTCTGGGGGAGGGGAGTCTGAGGCTGGGCAGGGCCACTCGGAGTTTTTATCACCACTGGGTGGGATCCAGGGTCTGTGGAGGAAGTGACCGCCCTCTTCCGGCCAGCCATTTTTTTTCCTTCTGCTGCCCGTTTGGCTTTTTCCTGAGGCCGCATTTCCACAACGGCCCCTCCTGGCTGGCTGGGCGTGGGCATGGCTCCACCACGCACCCAGCATTAGGGGTGGCCCGGCGCTAGGCTTCCTGTCCCTCTCTGGGCAGAGGCTGATTGGAGGAAAACAGCCCTCGAGCCTTCTTCAAAACAGGAAACTGCTCTCCCTGCTTCCTGAAGGACAGGAACTGTCCCCATGGCAACCACGGGACAAAGAGGCCATGTTAACCCTTCTGAGGTCAGGCATGGCTGAGGCCCCTTCTTACCAGCCCCTCGTGGGTGTGGCACTGTACAGGTGACATCCTCCAAGTCTCACCACCATTCTGAGGGCAGGGCAGGGCAGGGCGGGGACTTCATACCCATCGGATGGATGTCAATGTGGAGTTCAACTCCGAGGGCAAAAGCGTGGCCACACCGCGAGTCGAGTGCAGCAGGGCACACGGTGGGGTCTGAGGTCACCTGTCTCCGTTGAAATCTTGGCTGTGCTGGCTGTGTACCTGGGACAGGTGACTGAACCTTCCAGCCTCAGTTTCTCTACCTGTGAAACAGGAAACGGCGCGGGGCTGTTGTGAGCGTCCGCTGAGTTCCCCGCTCGTCCAGCGCGTACTCGCTTGTGCAATGAGCTGTTCTCGGCCCTGATGGCAGCGACAGTGACACGAACGACAACCTCCTGCCTCGTGGGCTGAGTGTGTAGATGGGGGTCAGGAGGTCAATAGGCCCACATGTCCGTGCAGACCAGAGACTTGCAGGGAATGACCAGGGCTGCGGGTGGGGGACGGGAGCATTCGGGCAGCGGGGCGGCAGGTGTGCTATCTGGGGATCAGCGAGGCACAGGGGCGGGCGAGGGGGGGAGCAGAGAGCCTTTGGGTCTATCCTCAGAGCAAGGCGGAGCCAAGGAGGGTGAGGCAGGCCGGGCATGTTCTGATTCGTATGTTTAAAGATCTGCCTCTGGCTGTGCGGACACGCAGAGTGACAGGGACTCTGAATGCTGTGTTTCCTGGGGGGACCTTGCCCAGGACCCTGGAGAGACCTGAGTCATGGGGAGACACCATCTGTGCTGGTGCTGGGGAGCAGGGCGGGGCGGGGAATCCATGACCTGCCCCCAGTGCTGCCACCGTTCAGGGGCCCAGCCTTTTCCTTGACGGCGCACCAGGACACACCCAGCCTCCCTCCCTCCGACGGCCGAGGGCTGCTGTGAGGAGGATGCGGTGGACGCAGCTCCCGCACTGTGGCAGAGGCTGCTCTCCTCGCTGCGGCCTCCGAGATCCCACCCTCCCTGCCTCACCACGCCCCCTCCCCACTCCATCTCCCACCACCCGGGCTCCGGCCGCACCGGCCTTCCTCTCCATCCCAGACCCTGCCCGGCTCCCTCTGGCCCCTGGGACTTGTCCTGCTCTCTAAAATGCCTTCCCAAATGCTCACGTGGCGGGGCGACCCCCTCATCCGCCAGGTCTCCACTGTCACCTCTTCTCAGAGACAACCCCACCCCTCCAGTCCCTCAGCATCCCCTCATCCCCAGTGTCGCTTCTTCACCTGCACTTACCTATACCTGAAATCGTCTCAGGATTTATCTGTTTCCCTATGTGGTGTCCATCTCCCCACCTGGTAGGACAGCTCAGGGAGGGCAGGGCGCCCGGAGCAGAGCCTGCCACACAGTGAGAGCCACTCTAATATCTGCTGCGTACCGAAGGGACGATACTGACAGAGGCCCCCCTTCCTGGGCCTTATCACCAAACCCCCGCTCACCTCCACAGCCTGAAGAGATGTGGTCTCTCGGCCAGGAAGGCAGCTCTCAAGAGGAGTTGGTTGGAGGTGAGGGGAGCAAGGGTTAAATGCCTGCCCTGTAAGGAACTAGTTTTGTTCACGAATGT